TGTATGGCACCAATATGAAAATGGGTATAATCTTGCCATCCATTCATTAATTAAAGGTTGAGATATGTCAATATTGATATATTGTTCAGAGGAAGAGGCAGGAAGACCACAGTTTTCTAATTTAGTAGATTGGACAACTTCTTTCACATGGGATTTTTGAGTGGAGATCAAGTTTCTAACTTAAAGTAGAAGAATATTTATAGCTTTTTTCCATTTATTTAAAGGCAAAAAAGGTTCCTTAATTTTCTATATAATTCATAAAAATAACTGCTCCTCCAGTCCTTAATATAGGACCCAATTGTTGAGTTGGTTTTGGTCCTAAATATAAGACTCATTTTTCATATTTATCAATTTTCTCTAAATTACCCCTATGAATATTCCTTCAACCATAATCAAGTAGAAGAGGAAGGGGGTATTAAGAAAAATGATTATGCTCTTTTAAGAAAAGCGTGTCATATTTCTTATAATTAACTAACTTACCTAATTTATTTAATCTAATCAAATTGATTAAATAGGTCTTATATTAAGAATCGGATGAGTAATATTTTAAACAAAAAAAAACTATAGGGCCGGACGTCCAGCATTAAATATTGATCGGGTTCGGTAGAGATCAACCGGATTTCATTATAGTAGTATCGTTTAGTGTTTTCTTGTTAGGTAAAACAACACAGTTCGTAATTTAGTATTTTCAGTCTCAATTATAAGGTCTTGTTTATAATCTATAAATAAAATTTTATAATTAGGATAAGAGGTAATATATCTTTGATCTTCCACCACTCATATATGGAGGAGGCAGTCGTAAACATTTTTTGAAGATTGTAATTTTTTCCTAACGAGTAATTAACCAAATATTGCATAAATATGTTAAAAAAATTGTATGATCAAAGAAAGTTACAATAAAGCGGCTGGCTAGGTTAGGAAGTGTAAAGTAGGATGGTGGTTGCGATATACAAGCAATTCATTTATACTTGTAATTTTTTAAATTTGGTGCAGTCTCATGCTTTTTTGTATTTATCTAAAATCACCAATTTTTCTTTTATTTATTTTAAAAATTAATAATTTTGGTTTATTTTATCAAATTATTAACAACTTTCATTCATACAAAATAACCAAATTATAATGATATCAAAAATTGAAAAATGGGTGAGATTGCATTAAATTTAATAAATCATGGGTAAAATTATACTATTAAAAAATTAGAATACTAGGTATATATGAGAAATAAGATTAAGATGCTAGATGAGCTTTTATTATTATTATTATTATTATTATTATTATTATTTTGCCTGAAAAGTTGTAGCCTTATGGTTAAGAAAGCTTTAGCCACCTTACTAAACTTCCAACAAAGTAGCAGCATAAAAGTACAGTACAACATATCAAGAGAATAAGAATTAGCGTACCAATAAAGATTAGGTTCTAAAGAAATGAATCAACCCCAAGATTTAAATTTTCATCAAGTGACGAGCCACGTTTAGCAGCTTTCAATGAGGAAATACTTGTACGAATGAAAAAAAAAAGTGTTTATGATTTATGAATAACATGGTGTGCATGTGTGTGTGTAAAATAATATTATTGGCATCACACGTGAAACGGGAACAGAAAAGATTGTTTCTGCGGCCCCATGGGGACAAAGAATCAATTAGGGCATATACCACCAACTGGGGAATTTATAAAGCACAGAAAAAGACGTGATGAGTCCCACAAGTAAAGAAAACATGGTGTGTGTGTGTGTGTGTGTGTGTATCCTGGTGTCGTATTATTATCAGATAGCATTTGTTTCCTCATGCTCTAATTAAACACAATATACATACATGGCATCTTCATCACTTTCTGGGCTCATGTACGCACAAGTCTCTTGCTCTTAATCTAAAATCTAAAGTGTTCGTTTTAGATTCCACGTTTGTGTAAAATAAACAGAATCATAATAAGATTCTAAGAAAAGAAAATACTACCTCCGGTCCTTAATATAGGATCTCGTTTGATTTTTATTTTGGTTCTAAATATAAGATCTCAATCCACTTTGTCTCTAATATTTATGCATTTTTTTCCAAGATAGTCCTTATAGTAATAATAGTTCTAACTAACACACTTGATTAGCAAGGATATTTTAGGAAAAACAACACATATTTATGACATATAACTAACTTAACTTCTTTTCTTAATCTCCTCAAATTAGTCAACCAGTTTTTATAATTAGGACCGGAGGTAGTAATTATCAGTAAGTTCTAATAATAAATAAGTACTTATTATTTCCTATTCAGGACTCATGCATCATATTGTAGGCTGCTTTATAGTCATCAGGACTTTTTAGTAATTATATTTTTTTTTGTGCACTTTATAACAATTCTTCGCATGAAATACTGTAATGTAATGAATATGTACATGAGCTACATATGGAGATTTAGTTATTAAACTACAGTGAACAGAAGTGGGGAGATCGATAACAAGGACGTGGCGGCTGAAGTTCCAAACGGAACCGACACAAACAAGATGAACGCCCCCACGTTCACATAACTCCTCTATTATGGCAACTTCTCCGTTATTCTAGTTCAGTTCCCCCCCTCTTATTTCGGGACCAGAACCACATTTTCCAATTTTGTCATAATATATAAACTACCTCCGTGCCTAAATATATATAGACTACATAAAAAATTTATTTTGATTCTAAATATAAAATATCAATATATTTTATTTTTTAAATGTATAGTTTTTTAAAAAAATATTTCTATTAATGGCACTTAATAAGAGGGTAGTTATAATAAACATGATAAGAAACAATATTTCATGAATGTCAAAATATTTATTACGAATAACTAACTTAATTGATTTTTTTAATATTTATAAATTAGTTATTTAGATTAAAGAGTCGAAAGAGAGTAAAATATAAGGCAGGCATGGGTTTTGTTGGGGTTATTATACACAAGTTATAATGGTCCTATTGCATGTGAAGGGATTAAATTTGTTTGTTGTTTCTTTGTTCACGTAGATTGCCATGAGTTCTCTTTGTTATCATATTGTTGAGAATTTATAATCATCTCAAAAAATTATTACTACAAAGACACAAGGGCCATATCAACTTGTGTAAACAATAGGATTTAAAACGAGTAGCCACTAAAAATTAATTCAATTACTACGGATGGAGTGATCAACAAGCTGTTAGTTGAGATAATAAGTTGTTTCACTCTTATAAAGAGGAGAACATGAGTTTGAATATCGAGAAGAGCACTTATTGGGAGAGACGAAAACCCTTTACGCGCTAAGTCTCAAAAAGAAAAACCATTAATCAAATTTTAAAAAAAAGAGTTAAATATGGGCAGAGCCAATAGATTTATTTCGGGATTGAAATTCTTATGTGATGTATACATAAATGACAAAAAAAGAAAATAAAAATCAGAAAAAGTAGAGGGAGAATCTCATAAAATAAAACTTTGAAATTACTAAATCTTAAATAAAGATTTTCTGTAAAAATGTGTTGTTATTTATAAATTTAACATTGTCAAAATTTATTAAAATATTGTTACTAAATTTGATATAAAATTTAGTAACTTTTGTAGATTTTCCAAGAGTAAATAAAATGGAGAAAGCAAATTAAAGAATTGAAAAGAAAAAAAAAACTGAGAAGGGGTCAACATCATTAAGAACGTAACTCATGTGTCGCACATGCCTCCAGCTTCAGTGTCCCTTTCTCTATTCCATCTGCTTTATTATTCAATCACTTTTTTTTCCCAATTAATTACACTGTACGCATATTATTTTATTTATTCATTTTTGTCATTTTCATGTTATCTCTTCAGTTAATTATTTTGATTTTATTCTTCTTTAAATCTTTTTTTTTCCCTAACTAAAGATTCGACGGCCGGGAAGTCACACATATAGGTGATAGAAATCATACAACTACATTTTAGTAGGTCACTGTCGCGTGTGGAAAGAAAGTCATGAATTCTTTTAAAAATATTATATTCCCTTAGATTGCATATTAAATACGCGTGCACATATTGATATTTGTTTCTTAATTTTTTATGATCAATATATGTATTTTAATGTTTCAAATACAATTTTTTGAAACGGCTCAGTTAGTGTTCTAAGCATAATTTTTCTATTCCAAATTATGTTTTATTTTAAATACTACCTTTAATTCTAAATATATAATATTTTACCCGACCAATAAAGATTAGGGAAAAAAAAGTTAAATTATTTTTTTCTAATTAAAGCGTCAATAATTTATGATAGTCTTGTTTTCCTGAAATAACCCTCTTATTTATTGGATCACTGAATTTCATTCATTTAAATTTCGAAAAAATGGCCCATTACATGCGGATATTCTGAATATAAAATAATTAATGTAATAGACAAAAGTAGCTAAGTTCTCAGATTAAGCAGCATACCAAAGTCTTCGATAAAAATCCTATATATGCAGAACAAACAAAGCAATTGATTCTCAAAAGAATTGCATGGTAATGGTTTTTATTTTATGTAGACAAACAGCATTGATGAAACTGAATTATATTCGAATTCCAAGAAATAATCATCAAACAGGAGACCGCGGGAAAACTTGAAAAATTTTCAAGCTAGTGTAGAAAATGGAGGATTGTACAATCTAAACAGTTGTAGATTAGATAATGCATTGTAATCCTATATGATTGAAAAGTAAAGCGATTCTAGAAAATAATCATATTTGCACATTAGGGATGGAGAAGAACAAAAACTTGTGTGGCTACAAAAAGTGGAAAGAAAGGGAGGAGGAATGTTCAAATGCTTTTTCCTGGTAATTGCTCACTCCTTGGGCCTCATGTTCCTCACCTTTTCCTAACCCTTCCCATGGGTTATGCTTTGCCTTTGAAATAGTCAATTCTCTCCTCCAGTTTATCAAAATTGCCACTGAAAGTCCCACCCCTCTCATGGACCCACCTTGGACAAAACATGTCCTTTCTGTTCTCTTCTCTTGCCACCCTCTTTTATAATTACCCCCCTCTTCCTCTCTTCTTCCTCGCTAAGAAACGCCCTCCTCCCTCCCTCTCTATCTCTATCTCTCCCTCTGATCCTCCTCTTATGTTATATCTCCTCCATTTTGAACAACCCCAGTCACAGCTCACCATCTTTTGTTCTCTCTGTTCTTAGGAATATAATTCAGTAAGTCTGTATTTATACACCTGTAATGCCCCCTGTTTCTTGATCTTCATGGGGAGCATTTGAGTCCCTTGGCTTATCTTCAGTTGAATTCTGAGAGGGGAAATATCATCTTTTGTTGTTGCTGGGTCTTAATCTGTTTTTTCTCTAGAAAAATGGAAGAGACCAACGAGTGGGAACAGCTTAGTCTGATCAGTGAGCTAATCCAAGGGAAGGAGTCTGCAGAGCAGCTCTGTACCCGTCTTTCTTCTTCCTCATCTCTTGAAGAGAAGGAGCTCTTGGTAGAAAAAATTCTTTCATCCTATGAGAAAGCTCTCTCCATGCTTAATTGGGGAGTTAATGTGGGAGAGACTTGCGTCATCAATGGCAACATGATGATGGACTCTCTCTGTTCGTTGATTGGTGGCAGCCCCAGAAGCGAGGTCTTGGACCAAGATTTTAACCACAAGGATTCCTCCAAGAAAAGGTAATGTACTAGAAAAGAGTTGCCCAGTTTCTGGTTCCTTTCCTTTTCTGTAATTCTGAGGTTTTTGGTCTGATTTCCAATGTGGAATCTGCAGAAAGTCCATGCCTAGATGGACAAAGCAAGTGAAGGCTTGCTCAGGAACAGGACTTGAAGGGTCTCTGGATGACGGTTATAGCTGGAGAAAGTATGGGCAGAAGGATATTCTGGGATCCAAGTTTCCAAGGTTAGAATTTCAACCTTTTATTTATCACCCACAAACTAAATTCCTCTTCTGTGTGCATTAGAAAATGACAATTAGAATCCAACCTTTTAGCTTGCCTGGTGGAAGAAAATCTACTGATTAGTTTTTTCCTTACTTGAGAGTAATTCAGCTGTCACAACCAAGATCAAGAGTATTGATCATATTTTAGTAATCTTGTGGACTCTTTATAAAAGAGCAAGGACAAGAGTATCAGTAAGAGTTATTGTGTAATAATGCTCCTTTTAAACCTTATCCGATGGGGGCATGAGATAAATGCACTGAGTTTTCACTTTTGAGTTGATCAAGAGGGGACGCATCCGTACTAAGAACAACCTGACAAGATTATTAAGTGGCGAAACTTGAAGTGAAGTGTCAATAATGGCGTTATAAATTTGGCAGTACTTGTTGCCCTCCCAGTGCTCACAGAACGAGTCCAGATTCGCAGTTCATGACAGAAACAACCCCCCCCCCCAAAAAAAAAAAAAAGACAAACATCTAAAAGACCAGAATAACAGAAGGGGTAGGCCTCTGAATTCTCAAGAAATTTTAAAATGCCCTTTTCATGGGTGGTTGGGTAGGCCCACACCACACGTTAGATTTTTTTAAAATAGTCATTTTGTGGGTAAATACCAAATTGTGCCCCCGAGTTTCCATCAAACAGTAGACCCTTCCATGTGAAACACTTGGGGTGCGTTTTCAAATGAATCTTCCACATCTGTCTTCGAATTATTAAGGCTGCTTCCTTGTTTTCTGACAAAGAGTGGTTCATATTGCAGAGGATATTACAGATGTACCCACCGAAATGTACAAGGTTGTCTGGCTACAAAACAAGTTCAAAGATCTGATGATGACTCAACAATTCTTGAGATAACCTACAGAGGAAGACACACATGCACTCAGGCTTCTCATGTGAAGAAGACATTGCCATTAAAAAGAAAGATGGGTCTGATGGAAAATCCAAAGCAGAACCATCGAGATGAACAGAAACCAGTGGGACTAAACCCAGAAGCGTTTCTAAATGTTGGAGCAGAGTTTGAGGTTAAAACAGAGGAACTGGACACAAAGGAGGACATTTTCCCACCCTTTTGCTTCCCTTCTGCGTCAATGGGGTCTGAGGATGAAGACAGTCTATTATTCTCCGAGCCCTTGATGCAAAACCACTTCCTGGAAAGCCTGCCTTCTCCCAAGTTAATCTCACCAGCAACCTCGGAATCGAACATTTTCTGTCTGAATGTGCAGACTTCAGAGTCTGATATCACTGACATAGTTTCAGCTCCAACTTCAGTCACCAATTCCCCAATAGATGATCTGGATCTCTTAGATTTTGACTCCAACTTCCCTTTCAACGTATCAGAACTATTTTCCTGATAAATTTCACCATAATAGCTCCATAATCTCTGTACCATTGGCTGCTAAGTTGTAGAAGTACGTAAGGCATCGCAAAAATCATGAGCGAAACTTACCTGGGTTGCTAGTTTAGACAGTTTCCTTGTACGAAAGTTGTAATGATGAGGTCGTCTGTAGTTTTTGTATACTTCTGTAGTTTTTTCTCACTTTAGTTCGAAGCTATTCATATTTCTAATTTTGCCTTCAGTAGGCCTAAGATTATGAAATAAATGAAAGGAGTTCTCACTCCTGTTATTGCTTAATGATGATCATGATCGATTTTTACAAGCGATTCTTGCATATGAAGTTCAGTGAGTCAAAAAAATTTTCTTATAATAGAAGCGTAGATGAAAGTATATGACTTTTTACTACTGGAATATATGACTAAAATTAACAGATGAATTAAAATAGCAAAGGCTCATAGTATTTTATTGTGACATCCTAGGAGATGGGTTATTTTTTAAGATGAACTTTCATAATTATAATAAAATTATTAACACCTCACACATTATAATTTCCTTTTTGACCAGCCTCACACATTATAATGAGATGTAGGAATTTTGACTTTCAATGTCTTGGGTTTCTTTTACACGGTTTCTTGCTGTGGCATTGATAACACTTGTAAGGTTTATATTTTTGACGATGATGAGCATATAAAAATGGTCAAAGATTAGAAAATATGACTTTTCTAAAGCCCCAATAATGCAGGGCTAAACTTAGATACGTGGCACATCCAGGCCCTCGCAGTATCAAATGAGAATGGTTCAGAGATACCTTACATGGCCTCTCCGGTTTGACTGAAGTCAAATGTCTCGTTGAATGATGTACATTCTCAATTTTATTATAAGTTCCACGTAACCAATCCATGAATAATGAATAATTATTTAAAGCTAGGTAAAAGTAATAAAGAGGTTATAAATATATTTTTGTTTTCAAATATGTTCTTATAATAAATTAAAAAAAGAATGTATAAGAAAATTTGATTAGAGAGTATAAATAATTTTTAAAAAAAGACATTAAATGCTAAGACAAACTTAGATTACAGTTTATAAAATAGATCATACCTCTCCTCGAATTTGAACTTATAAACAAGACTAGAGGAGTATATAATAAGATATAAGATTATTAGTAATAGATTGCAATCATTAATAACATTATCATATATGTAGTAATGTACAACTTGCTTGTGAGAAGACATGAGATATTAATTATAAGAGAAAATTTATTTGGCAGCCCTGTAGTTTTATTAGATTTTGAATCAGGTCCCTATGCAGATGAGAGGATTGAAGTTAGTAATTGGCAATATCAGCAGAAGAAACGAATTGAAGGAGGAAGCAACCAAGAATAATCTGCCCCTGAGATGAGAGGCCTTCTTTATGCAGAAGACGTCGTAAACCATTGGGATGTTTCTGAATCCAAATCTACCACCTTTGTCATATCTCAGAATCTTTCTCTCACTCTCAGTTTTTGATTCTGTGTAGTTCTGCAACAAGCCCATCCACAAGCGCATCAAAATATATACTCACAACATATTATAGATACACTCACACACACACACATATATATTCTGAAGATCATTGATATATGGAAAGTTTGGAAGATGATGAAGAGGGGTCGAAGTGGAGATGCAGAAAGTGTCTTCTCAGTACTGCTTTTGCTTTGAAGCAAAACCTTGCTATCTCTTTCGCTGCTTCTACTGTTGCTTCCTTTAAACTCCTGTACTGATTCCATACACATCATTGCTTCAATGATTGCGTACAATTAATTTTTTCTTTCATTCTTTATTAACTTTGCTTTGTAGGCAGACATGTCTAGTGCTTATTACAACACATTTCATATTGATGTCATCTCAAATGATCAATAAGCTAAGTGATCTTCAGAAATTTTGAAATTTATTGAAAATGATCACAGGCTTGAGGCTCATACATAAATATCTGCTTCCAATAACACATGCTAGCCTCGTCTGTGCGGGTACGTGGCAGCCTTCTCAGAACCCCTACTTTGGATTAATATCTGCTTCCAATAACAACACATGCTAGCCTCGTCTGTGCAGGTACGTGGCAGCCTTCTCGGAACCCCTACTTTGGATTCATCTTTGGTGTGTGTGTGTGTTATATATATTCACATCGATTACTACTCAAAGAGGTGAAAGAGACCAGAGGGAAGAGATGGATGGATGTAGATTGGGGGGGGGGGGGAATATATGTGAGTCTGGCATGGAAAGTGTAACCCTGCAGAAGAAGCTTTTGGAGGAGGGAAGCTGCGATGTAGCCAGAACCACCAGTAACACAAACCTTCAACCCTGCCTTGTCCATTTCTTCTCACCTTTCCAGATACCCCACGACTGATGCCACATTCGTCCCAAAATAGGTTGGATTGATATATGGTCTCTTTGGTTGCTGCAAAAGTTGAGAAAATGAAAGTCGGATTTATTTTTTGGCCTTATTCAATATCGTTTTTCAAGACAGATTTTAGTTCAATGTTTATTGATCCTGTGAAAACATCGAGGCTGAGAATCAAATTTTTTCCATTGCTGTAGCTCAAGACTCAGCATTGTTGCCTCCTTGAAACATAATGCCCTATCAAATTTTCTGAGCAATTTATTAGTTGATAATTGATAAATCCAAAGCATTCCAATATTTTGGCTTTGAATAATGCTCTTCCCCGTGGTGCCAGAAATTTCCGTCTACCGAATCGGGTGAATAATTTGAAATTTCCAGCATAAACGTGTCTGGCGACTTCGGGGTTTGAGGGAAAAATTATTAAAAATACATATTGCTATGTAAGCAGTCTTATTTAGCTGACACCTGGATAATTTTTGATCAAAAGTTAACAGTCAAAGTCAAATTTCTATTAGAGTTGAACAATAAAAATTAATTTAGGATTAAAATTGTATAATCAACTACTTTAAAATACTGAATGTACTCAAGAAAACACTTTCGAGTGCTGAATGTACCTTAACTTGTTTTTTCGAGTCATTGATTATCCCTTTGAGAGCACTCAAGTTCTAACATAAAACACAAGCATGTCAATCTTACAAAATTCTTCTAATTCCTAGTCATATACTTGCTCCATAACCAGCCAAGCAATAGTGGGGAAGCAATCGCCTTTTGTGGAAGCAAATGCCAGTTTGGGAGACTCATAACAAGTTAAGATATACACCAGATGACGTATTACACCTTTCCACGTGGGGAAACAGCTAACAATACGTTCTACTGAATTTGAACAACCTAATATTCACTCGCACAAGAAGCAGAATCACCCAAATAATTAAATCCGATCCTCTAATTCTCTACATTCTAGCAATCAATCAAACTTCTGCACTCTTACAATGTAAATACAGTGAGATCCTGTACTCAGTCTTTGCATGTATGGATGTCCAGATGGGTAGCGGTACAAGAAATGGGATACAGCACCACAGAGCATCTGATACAAAAGCTCGTCAAAAACCTTTGAGTCTCGACACAATTCTCTCATTCTATCAATTGTGCCTGCAATAAGTGGTTCAAACTGATCACTTGGCAATCCGAAAGATAATTTAGGCTTTGATTTGATCTGGGAGGAGGCGGAAATTAATAAATTAAATAGAACATTTGCACGGAGTAGTATGTTCTAACGTCCTAACTTCAATGCTTGGTTCACAAGCCAATAAAGAATACAAAGCATACTTGCACACTCAACCAGCAAACCAAAGTTCAACAAGAAAATACAGTTAAACTTTCCTCGTCTTTTCATACTCAATTCTTTCTACGAGTTAAAGAAGGTGGAATGAGACCCAGACAATGAGGTCAGTATGCAGTATGTATAGATATATAGCCTGCCTCATCATAGCTCATCATAGCTTACTTGGCATGTTACACTACTGATTTGGATCTAGCGCTCCTGAAGCGTTGCCTTCTCCAGTCAGCATATTGTTTGGGTCCTATATAAGTCGAGGGGGAAAAAATTAGCAGCACGCAAGATGAGTAGAATGAAGAAGTTGAATGAAAATAGCACCTACCTCCATCCCCCATTTGATGTAATCTGGGGATTCACAGGCCTTGTATTCATCAACCAAACTCTCAATAACGTCCCTCGATTCATCAAATTCTGACAGGTCATTATCCTGTGCAATTTTTTTTTTTTTGGGGCGGGGGTTGTTTTGAAAATTAACATCAGATGAGGTCCAGGAAGTTCTCAACAGATGCAGCATTGTTGTCATGAAGTTGGTCCACTTACAGCAAACATAGGGAACTTTCGGTAGTTGTCAAGAAATGCTTGTTTCTTTCTCAACTTCTCATATTGGCTCAAACACTTGCTAAAAAGGTGCCGGATGCTTGTATGGCTTGCTAGCATAAGCCCGCTAACCTACCAGAGACAGTACAGGTCATAAATTTATCTCTATTCTTAATTTGTTCAATATCTTCCCTAGGAATAGCAGTCATTTTTAAGAGAAGCATGAACCAACATCCAATGTTATCCCAGCGAAACAAAATATGAAATTGACCCCCAAAAAAAAAAATTGTGGAAGGATAGAGTCGTACCCTGTGTGCAGTTTGAACATAGGGTGACTTTCTAGACAATGCAACCTGCCACAAGTGCAAAACATGAAAGAAGGAAATAAGATCAATTTCTACCATGAATAACCACATGCAGGAGACAAGATTACGTAAATGCCACTACTTTCAGTTTCTTTTCCACAGAAGCGACACCTGTATACTTGCAGGACCCCATTCAATAAAGTTAACAAGCTTTCTTTCACGGATTCTCTGCAAACTTTCGTGAACCTGAATCCAAAGGAAAAATGATGTATCACAGTTAAAAGTTTAACTAACCAGAAAACAAAAAAAAAGGGGTCAAACATTTCATGGGAAGCCACACAGTGCGATGTGATGTGACAAAAACTAAAAACAAATACACTATTAATGATCTCCGCTAATACAAGACAAGGGTTGTTTGTAAAATTTATATCAATCAGGAAAAGGCATGCAAGTCTTTGATCACAAAAAGACATAACAGTTCAACTCAACAGGAATCAATAATTACCAGGTCCTTGGAAGTTAAAATTTACCCAAAAATGATTGGGCAAGAGTTATATTGGGTGGGGGCGGGGGAGTCAATAATTGGACATGAACAACACATCAATTATGAACTGTTTTATCCTGCGTAAATCTCCAAGTACTTGGGAAATTATAGAGCAAACACTACCTTCAAGTCATCTACTCGATATTTGAGCTTACTGCTCAGAAATTGAAGGAAGCATGACTTCAAGGAATTTCAAACTCATCAATCAGAAGCACAGCACTCATGCTCTATCAAAAGATTCAAGATATAGCATGAAACTTAAGCCATATTCAGCCAAGCTAAGAAACAGTAGCTTCCATTCATGCTCCAAACAAGCAATAAAGTGCAATGTGAAGGATTCAATAATACAAGAGACAAGGCATTATATCCAGAGAAAAAGGCAGGCAGGTGAAATGAGTTGCTGCAACTTTTAGAATAGAGGTTCCTCACCCAAAAAAAAAAAAAAACTAACATTACCTGAGTTGGATCAACCTCTCCTTGAATGATATTGAGAATTGAAATATATTTTGCTTGGCTAGCATCTTTTGTACGAGCATATGAAGAAACCATAATATTCTTTGCCTGCCAGGATCATTAATATAAGCAGAATGAAAAGCCATTTAAATGGATAAATGTTAAAGTGGTAATGGTACCTGCAGAAGTCTTCTCATAACATCAAGCACTGTGGTCTTTCTAATTACATTAGCCTGCCAGGATATCATCAAAGATTCCAAATATTTCTTCAGATATATAATACGAAGAATCACAACTTATTTGCAGCACGCACACGCACAATCACACATCAATAAAATTAAAGGGGGGAAAAAAAGAGAGGCAGCAGAAGACATTGAAAAAGAGATTAGTTGGTAATCCCAATATAGACTCATTCCAGCTCATCATTTTTTACAATAATGCAACAAAACTCGCCACAAGTGGGTCTTAAACAAAACATTTAATGCTCCATAAATCATGCTCTAAAGAATTATCAAATACAAACATAATATATTCATCTCACCTGGCGTTCCACTGTCAAAGGCGTATATCCTGTCATTAGAAAATGGCATCTAGGTGTTGGAATCAAAGAGGCCAGAAGACCAACCAAGTCATTATTCATGTATCCTGGATAACGAAGAGTAGTTGTACTAGCAGACATCACAGTAGAAACTAAGGAATTTGTTTGTGCAAAAGTTGGGTTTGACAGATGAAGGCGCTCAACAGCAATTCTATTTAGTGCAGTGTTATCAAGAACGACAACACAATCTGCATTAAGTGTGAGCCGCTTAAGTGTCAAAAGTGAATTGTATGGTTGGACCACCACATCACTTGTCTCCATTTGGTTAGGAAACACGCTATATGTCTGAACCAGCTTTTTGCTGTAGCGATCATTTAGAGCCTCCAACAAATATGAACCCATACCTGTATGGCTTTATCAGTATTAAAAAAAAGCACTAGGAACATAAGCACTATTGTTTGTAACAAATGGAACCCAAGAAAGCTATGAAACAAGGACACTTTAAAAAAGGGTTGTGTCTGTCTGCAGCATGCACACACTGATATTAAAAACAATGCAAGTATGCAACACCTTAAATTTCACAAGGACACTTCAGCCTTTGTCATGTTGCCAAATCAATGTCAGTACTGTGGCTCGTGTCTGTGTCAGTATTCTTTATTCCAAACGAGCAAGAAATATTTGAGAAATTCCCAAATTTCCAACTTCTCAATACCTTGCCCAACGCTAGATAGAGATCCAAGTCATCTACGTATATTAGAGCACTTTTAAACTTAAGTTGGAGGTGTTAAGCCAACAGGCGCAACTCCATATCGCAGAGTGTTAGAACAACTTAATTTTGGTTAGGATACTACAGCTATGCTCTAGGTGCAAATTAAAAGGATCTGTCGCCAACGTTGTAATTCTATGAATGCACCAAATGACCAAATGCAAAACTCCTCATCAAGAGAAAAAGAAAGGAAATGAAGAAATGGAAAACAAAAGATGCAGGAGAGTAACTAAACCTGAACCAGTTCCTCCAGCAATTGAATGGCACAGAACAAAACCCTCAAGACTGTCACTGCCATCTGCCTCCCTGTCAATCATGTCCATTATGTCTTCTTCAACATTCTTTCCCTGGTCAGAAAGCAACAAATACATTAGCCCCACAAGTTATTTTGCATTCATAAAAAGAAACAGAGACCTCTCATAACTATTCAGATTTTAGGACCAAATAGGGAAAGATCTTCCTCTAAGCTTTAAAAAGGCAAATGACAAATTCCAAATGCCACAGTAGAAATATGTTATTATTTTACATTATTTTTCTATATGGATGTGCCAAACACCTAATCAGTAGTAGATTTTCATGAGCATCACACAAATTACTGGAAACTTTGGAGGTGGAAGTAGATTTTGTTGCAGAAAATTTAATGTTGTTGAAGGATGATGCGCATCTTAATTATGGGACAATCTATTAAAGAACCTGATGATATCCACTGGCCCAATTGTTTCCGGCACCCCCTCCATGATCTGATACAAAGATGTTTTCATGATTGTAGAGATTTCGGTAGTCACTGTTCTGAATTCCATTGATAACTCTTGGCTCCAAGTCTATCAATAGAGCTCGTGGTATGTAGTGCTGATCATCAGCTTGATAGAAAAATACATCTTTCCGATCACCTCCCTGCAGCATTTTCACCAAAATAAGAATATAGATCAGTCAGATAATAATGCATATTTGTTGCTTTCGGTTGTGCACCAATCTCTGCATCTTTTGCCAACACCCTCGACAACTAAAATGAACACAACTGTCAGATCGTTCACTGAAAAACCTTGATACTGTAAGTTAGAATCTTTAGTTGGTCAGACAGAACTTGAGCCACCCCTATTTCCATTTTCCCATCCTTACCTGCCTACTCATTTACCCATGACATCTGCAAACCCCCAGGCTCTCGCTCTAGCTCCATCTGACCACCCCCCCCCCCCCAAAAAAAAACCCCAACCCCATTTTTCCTCCCTCGCCCTTAGCTGTGGTGCAGACTCAGTGGCTCTGTCATAATTTAAAGCCACAGAGAAAAAGAAATAGACCGAAGTCCACAAGTTTTCCCCAAATAGGGGCAAATGAAATAAAACTTTTCAAGATATTAATTGATCTTTCATTTTGTCACTATAAAATCCATTTCTTTCCCTTCCACCAAATGTCCTCCAGAAAATTAGCTAAAGTGTCAGCTATCAGAAACCGTCATAGCGCCAAAATATTAAATTTATTTTCATTCAGATATGAACCATCAACTGTGCCCAGCACAGAATCATCCACCTATCTTCAACGCATCAACACAGCAAGCACAAGAAGGCATAGACGAAAGGCTAGAAAAGGACCTGGGTAGCGAAGTCTTCGAGGATGCCGTCTTTACTGATGCCATGCTCGAGGCAGAGCTGCTTCCAGAACTCCATGCCGATCTGGTTCCCACATTGTCCAACCTGAAGCGTTATGATCTCTCTGGGCATATTGTATTTGTTGTTTTTGTGAAGATTCTGCTTGCTTCACTGGAAATTAGGGTTCGGCTCCGGCAGGAGAATTCAAGCGAATTCCTTCTGGCGTGGCGGGGAAACCCCTTTTAAAAAAGAAAAGGGACGAGAGATGATAGCGACAGTGAGGGTGAGAGTGTGGGTGGGAGGTGGGAGTGATATGGAAAATTAACGAGAAAATGTGGGAAAATATCTCCGGTGGCATTCCAGTGCGCTTTTGGGCCGGCAACCTTCCTATTTGGGGGAGACTAACGAGATTTTTTACCCCGGGTGTAAAAGCATAATGAGATTGTTTTTAATATATTCTTTTTTCGCCTCGTTTTTTTTTTCCGGTCATATTGTTTTTAAAGATAAACTTTCGTTGGACTATGATTGAGATTAGCAATAAACAACTGTGATTTTAGATAATCATAAATTTTATAAGTAACACAAGTTATAAGTGATGTTGGTTAATTATAATTTCTATTTGTATATGCTTTTTTTCTTTTTATAACTTTGAGAGTTGTAATTATGATTAGTTTTCATTTATTAAAATCATTTATGGATATATAATTACCAAAAAGGCATGAATTTAATATAAATATTATCAAAAATAATCATTTGGTGAGAGATTTCTGAAAGAGTGTGGAAGGGTAGATTGAAAAAAATCGATTTGATCAGAATTTTTCAAACGCATAAAATGTGGTGAAAAAATAAAATCATGATTCATCGGTATTTTATAAAAATTACCCAACAAAATAAACATGCTTCATGATCACTTATTTAGATTCTAACAAACTTATTTGAGCTCTCACCACTTAACCAAAATATGTACTTAATAAACTGAAGATTGTTGGTTATTGCCCAAGATTCCATCTTTTGAGGGGGAAAAAAAATCATTTTTCCCCATTTCCTGTTATTATGGTTCCATTTTATGTTCCGGATTCCAATGCCTTTCAATCACATCCCCCCGGGGGAGGGGATGATAAATTTTTTTGGGGTGGATTACAGAAATCAAGATACGAAATTGCTTTCACGCCACCAAATTTACGTGCTCTGAGATTATACAAAAGGTTCATGACATCATTAGAAGAATGTTACGAGTTACCACAGTTGTTAAGCTCACCACTTAATTAAATGAAAAGAGGTTTTACGGACAAAACAATTCTTATGGAAGCAATTTATTTGGCCTCTGGGTTTGATTGATATCAATGTTTGGAAAGAATTGTTTTTAATGTTGACTAAATAACTTCATGGATTTCAAAATTCAGAAACGATTTGTGGCTTCCGAACCTAGCTTGTGCAATGTTGCTTATCAATTTTGTAGCAGCCAATAAAAAACCTTCGCATAGAAAACCATAATATGCTAATTCACAAACGGAGAAACTAAATGACAACTGCTAACAAATTAATTACTGAGAGTTGTGTGCAAGAAACAGCGAGAGAATTGTAGACCATACATGGTGGCTTGAATTCATATGCCATACTGTAATTTCATCTCCATTTACACCACACTTATGTGGGTGGATGTTGCTAACGGATGTCACTACTTAGCAAGTGTGTTGGATCCAACCATCTGTAGCTCATGAGATTGCTGTATCTGCTAACATCAACCTTCTGGTACGTTTGATAAGAAGGGAAGTCCTTTTCCAGAGTGAAAACAAGAAAAGAAAAGGTTAAACTTGTATGATTGATACGTGATTGATATGTTAACAATGAGTGGTACACTTTCTAATCATAGTTAGGAAAACAGGTTTTTAGGGAAGCTCCTCTCCCATGCTTTCATACTCGCATTCTCATTCTCATCCCCACGTGATACCAAATGCAGCGTAATGGACCATTTTAAGAAGCCATTCAAGAGCTGTCCCAAGAATAAAGAGGCAGGGGATTAATGTATTGTGGCCACCGTTGACTATGCCAACACCACATTCATGAAGCCATGAACGGACTTGGATTGATGCTGCTTGATGTCAAGGGAGATAATGACACAAGTCTAACTCCTTTATCACAAAGCTTCAAAAAGATCTTAAATATCAGGTTATGAATTTTGCAGCCCTTTTACATCATTTTCTAGCACATTTCCAATCACAGAGAAATAAATCTCACTTCAAAATCCAGAGAGAATATTCTGATATTTTTTTCCCCCTTCCCATGTATCTTCAAAGCCAGAAAACGTTAGGCAACATAGTTGAGATCCGCTGATCGCCAGGTTTAGTAAATGTAAACTCAAAGCAAATAACCCTAATCTCAGGAAAGATGTAGTTACATGGGAGAAGAATTTTTACCTCCCACCATCTGCAACCTTGTCACTCCCTCCACCCACCACCCAGTGCCAAGAGGAACGAGCTAAAGATAGAAATGAAGTGATAAACATGCGTGCTAAAGACATACTAACGGAGGCGTAAAATCTCATGCTGTAATGCTCAGATCAGAAAGTCACCGGAGACAGACATCATCAAAGGGAATTTAGCAGGTCAACTTTCTGTTTAATAGACCCACTATAAAGCAATCATGTTGTTTTTGGTTAAACCTGCAGTCTTGCACCATTAAAAGAAAAGCATCACAAGTAGAAGGTATTTGGTTTTCTAGAAGCCTTTCCATTAAGTCATACAATCATCTCAGCCACCAATACAGAATTATATTCTTGATGAATCCAAAATGATGATCATACGTGTCTACTATAAGAACTGCAGTCGCGTATGTTGCCGATTAAAGTGAATAGATGAAAGAACTAAAGCCCTTCTGCCATATGACTGATGAATACAAAAGGTCTAACTTATATGATTACAACATTTCTAAATATCCTGAAATCTATCCATTAGTCAAACAGGTACAGCAATGTAAATAAAAACTAATCTGACAGCAAAATCTAACTGTCATCGTCTCATTATATGTTTCCCCCTGTTGAGAATAAAACGAAGGCTCACAAAACTGACAACATCAAGATAAATTCCGTTATGCAAAGAGATGCATGGTAGCACCGAGTGACAATCATTTACCCTCTGCAGCCATCTTCTTGCGTATCTCACGAGCTGCATTAAAAATGCCAAGAGTAGGCTTGTTGCACACGAAACATTCTTATTCTTTGCATGATGCTGCAAATGAAAAGAAGGCATTAACATTAAAGAAGAGGAAAAATATTAAAATGAAATCAACCTCAGGACACATCCTTATTCTCAAGCACAAAATAAAAATAAAAAACGGCCCCGGGCGGGATGGATATGGACAAAGAACAGCTGCATGATGCAGTTAACCAGTAATCAATCAACCATAACTTTTGCAACCACTTGTATTATAGCAACATTTATCTGGTATGGCACAATAAACCATTGAAAATTTGACCTTAAAAGATCAAGAAAAGTAGTTAAATTTGTTGTTTGTAATTAATATGTCAAATATTTATACAGCTCTTCCACAACTATCCCCAACATTTAATGAGATATCTTCATTAGTACTGACTTTTTACCAAAAAAACTGAGAATTAGCCAGGGGTTTTTGGTGAAAGAAACATTTAACGAATAAGACAAAATGAATGAGCTTTTATATATAGGACCAAAGCAAAATGCTCAAAAGGGTCATATACCTAGGACGGGAGAAAGTATTTTCCATCAACTCTTCATATTGGCATATCAACCAATGAACTTAGTTTAGCCAACTATTAGAACATAGACATACCTTCAACGCACAATGCTCGCAGAAGTAGTGCTTGCAGTTTGTTACAACAGGATCCACAAAGGGCTTTCTACAAATGAAACATGCAAATGGTAATGAATCATCATCATCTTCATCACTCAAATTAGCACCCTCCTCATCTGAATCCTCTCCCGCAGCCAATCTCATTCTCCTAGCTTTCTCAGCTTCCTCCCATTCCTTCTCCAACTGCCACCCAGACTTGTAATCTCCTCGATCATGCATAAACTTACACGAATCACCATACCCACAGTAACCAGTCTCCTTGTAATCCTTACATATGTCTGGCTGATAATCAAATCTTGCTGAAACTCTTATATGAGCTGATGCCCTGAGAGGACCATGTGCCCCACCAGCTTTTTCACTAGAAATTGTTTGCTCTCGACGGAAGCCAGCCTTGTAATCTTTGTAACTATTGATGCCCTTGTACAATTTTTCTTCTCCAGAACTAGTAGCTTTACCCTTCAAACTCTCCTCTGCTTGCTTAAGGGCCCTTTCACGAATAGCTCGAGCATCTTTTGAAAACTCGGTTTCAGTCTCAAGAATAGCTGTTGCTTTGTTATCATGTTGAACTTGAATCTCTTTTGAAGACTCGAAATGGAACAGTTGCTTTTCAGGCTCCTCTTGTGCTTTAGATGCAGTGCTTTTTGAGGGACCAGTGGAAAAGTACAACTTATTATCAGGCTTCACCTGTTTTTTCTGACTGAGTAACAAAGAGCTTTCATTGGTTGAATCCTCCTCGTTATCTTCTTCATCAACAGTACGTTTTCTTAAATTCTTCCTATTAACCGGTTTCTTGAAGAAATTACACACTGAAAATACAGAAGACAGCCAAAATTGTACAGCTTGCAACAAAACAAACAGATTTATACAAGAAGATGCAATGCAAATGCTTGGGTTTAAAAAGTTGAAAAGAAGCCAACTGTACCTTGCTCGGACGGTTGATTGTCAGCAGATTTCGGCAGGTCACCAGAATCAGCCATGCATGAAAACTAATTACACAGCTTCAACCACGACTTGCAATGCCCAGAGAATTGTAGTGATGAAAGCAATATTCCAGAAACAACAACGAAAATCCCCACAAAATAGACAGAAAACAATTAACCGACTCAGCCAACGGAGATGGGTGCCTAATCAGAAATAAGTCTTAGGGAAATAAAAAAGCCTGATTTGATTGAAATCAGTGACACTCTAAAGCGGACATGGCACTAAAAGAATCCCAGAAAACTATATTATGGTACGCAGGGAAGAAATACCTAACAAGGAGTATACAATTTGCAGGGCAATGGACGATGATTAGAAATAAAGCAGGTAGATGAAGGTGGCAATATTACTCATACAGAGAAAACTGGCATCGAACGGTAATAAAGCAGGGCGATGGTCAAGGTGGAGGGAATGATGGTCTCGTGTCCTGCTCTGCCACTCGCTGTCGAAGACGATGAAGGAGGGAAAAGATGGTCATGGTTGGGGGCGTGGTATGCGTTGGTAGATGCGAGTGATGA